CCTTGAAGGAGAAGAGTACAGCGGTGACTCGCTGTATCTGCAGGCGGTGTATAGCTGGAGGGCCAATGGGACATTGGCTGGAGTGATGAAGGTTGGCAACACCCATCAGTTGAAAAAAAGAACAGAGCCCCTGGATGAACGGGTGGCTGTGGTGTGATGAGTGCACCCAAGCATGGTACAACCCACTTCTTAAATACAAGTGCACCCAGCAAATAGTAAAAGGGCCATTACATAACCAGTCAGCCCACTGGGCAACATCTTAATAAAAGAATACTGGGTACAAAACACAATACATGGGGTCTGCTGCAGAACAGGTTAGACTTAAAATACCACAAATGTCTAAAGAAAAATTAAATTAAAAACAGCGGGCGAAATATAAAGGAAGAAATGTCCCATCTGTAACAACAGTGACTGACTTTATATTTGACTTGTCTTTAATGATTAAATGTTAGTCATTGGCATGTCTGACCAATTCAAATTAGTCACTGGTCTGTCTGACTACATGTAATTTTTACTGGTCATTTTAGACATAGAGCTGGACTTTTTATTAGTATTGTTAGTCACAATGACAAATTTTTGTTTACAGTGTATACAGTAAAATAATAACACAATTCAGCTTAACTAGTTTTCAAACCATTTGGGAAATGTCAGCTAAGTGAAATTTATGAATACACTTGAATATGTGAATAAATTTGGTATTCTTGTCATGTCTAAGTGTCCAGGATTTACTTCATAAGTTGTCGTCTCAGGAATTCCCAAATCACCTTTCTTTCCTCACTTTTCGCTTCCATCTTCTTCTCCCTTTCCCTTTTTTTCAAGCTCAAGCTTTCCTTTCTCAAATGCCAGCTGTTCATTCTTCAACTGGATTTCCTGCTCCTTCAATGGCATTTCTTTTTCGGACCTTGACTTCAAAAACTTCAATATATCTGAGGATGACGAAGTTCTCTTTGCTTTCTGGGGCGTAACGTTAATTTCAGAATCAGAATCACCTATGTGGCTTTCATTGGTTACAACAAAGCAAACAGAATGAAACAATATAAGCAGAAATGAGTTGCTTAATTATTTCTGATATTAAAGTCTTTAATTCTGACATAAGACACATACATGTTTGCTTCTTGGAGATTGTTTTCAAGGCTGCCTTCCTGATTTCCACTCCAGTGAGCCTTTGTTTCTCATTTTTCTTGTTTTTATCTTCTAGTCTTGTCACCTGCTCCTCCTGAAGGTCTTTAATTTCCTGAAGGAGCTGGTGCTTCTCTTCTACCTCCTCTTCGGTGCCAGATCTACAAAAACAGAAAAAGACTACAACCCCAACATCCTCAAATTCAGTAATTATTTCCAAAGATCTGTTAAAAGTCATGTCCAATTAATTTTGTTACACAGTCCTGCATAATAATTATTGAATGTATGGCACCTCTTCAGCGCATCCGCATCTTCTTTCTTATAATAGGCCAGAAGCATATGCATCATTTGCTATGACCTTTTGAAGTAATATATCATCATTCGCCGACAATCTAAATGGCTTCTTTTTGGCTCCCTTCATACTTTGGGTAAACCTTTTGTTTTCTGTGGGAAAGTGAGACATCATAAGAGTAACCAACCCCCCCTCCATTGAAACTGATGAAACAATTTGAAATAGGTCCGATCCTTAGAAATTACATACATTTCAAAATAAACATTTGTCTAGTTTACATCACTATCACACCATTAATATGAAAAGGATAAAAACTGTTCATTTGAAAGCCGAAATCTTCCTCTATACTATGTGATATGTAGTTACCTGCAATAAACATAATTACCACTTGTTCTGTGCAGAATGTACTCACAAATAAAGGATGTTTTCCTTACCTTCTGCAATTGGCAAAACTTGTCTTTTGATGTTGCGAACGGTAAACTAGCAGTCTGAACGTGTGTTGCTAACGTGCATTTTAGCTACGTGTACGCACATTTCCATGACACCACACAGACTTCGGACGTTATCTTTCTGGAAAAACGTGTAACTTAATCTCTCTATTACATGGAGATGTGCAGCCTGGAGAAGAACTAGGAATGTCTTGTTCAATTATAAGATAAGGCAATAAAAAACAATCGGTAGGATATTGGCTTTGAAGGAAGAGGGAAACCTTGTTGCCAGTTCTCTTGGCCAAACGTCACCAAGTTTTAATTTCTCATTTAAACATTCTTTTCTGCACCAGATAGTAACAAGAGTTAAAGCCAAGGTTGCACACATGCACATGTACATGTAGTTACCCTGAAAAGAAAAATACTTCCAAAACTTTGAATAACCACTTCAGGCTGGTAAAACATTTACCAGCAGAAGTTAACTAAAATCATCAAATTCACAATACAGTAAAATCTCGATAAGGCGAAGCCTGTTAAGTCGAACCTCCATTTACCTCGACATCTTTCTGTATTCCCGACAAAAGAATAGGCCTTTATGAACAAAAAACTATCTGTAACTTGAAACGTCACTTCCACTAAAGCCACTTATCTCGAAGTTTTGGCAGGCCAATTAAAAAAAAAAACCGCTGAAGAATGATGAATGAAAAGTGATGAAAGAATGCTTGCCTTCATTATGAGTCATTACTGTCACGC